TTTTTTTTTTCCCCCAAGGAGGGACAAGCAAATCCTATCTTTTTTTAATCTTTAATTTTAATTTTTTTTTGAGGCGGAGTCTCGATCTGTCACCCAGGCTAGAGTGCAATGTCTCGATCTCAGCTAACTGCAACCTCTGCCTCCTGGGTTCAAGCAATTCTCTGCCTCAGCCTCCCAAGTAGCTGGGATTATAGGCACCTGCCACCACACCCAGCTAACTTTTGTATTTTTAGTAGAGACAGGGTTTCACCATGTTAGCCAGGCTGGTCTTGAACTCCTTACCTTGTGATCCACCCACCTCAGCTTCTCAAAGTGCTGGGATTACAGGCATGAGCCACCACGCCCGGCCCCCTGCCCTGTCTTCTTTTTTTCCTTTGAGACGGAGTCTCACTCTGTCACCCAGGCTGGAGTGCAGTGGCGTGATCTTGGCTCACTGCAACCTCCGCCTTCCAGGTTCAAGTGATTCTCCTGCCTCAGCCTCCCGAGTGGCTGAGATTACAGGTGCCCACCATCACACCCGGCTAATTTTTCTATTTTTAGTAGCGACAGATTTCACTGTGTTGGCCAGGCTGGTCTCAAACTCCTGATCTCAGGTGATTCACCTGCCTCGGCCTCCCAAAGTGCTGGGATTACAGGCGTGAGCCACTGCACATGGCCAAGCTTTTTTTTTTTTTTTTTTTTTTTTTTTTAAAGACAGGGTTTTGCTCTGTCTTCCAGGCTGGAGTGCGGTGGTGTGATCACAATCACGGCTCACTGCAGCCTCGACCTCCCAGGCTCAAGCAATCCTCCCACCTCAGCCAGCCGAGTAGCTGGGACTACTGGCGTGTGCCACCATGCCCAGCTAATTTTTAAAAATTTTTGTAGAGACAGGGTGTTACTATGTTGCCTAGGCTGGCCTCTAACTTTTTTATTTATTTAAAAACAGGGTCTCTAAAATAACCCAGGAGTGCAGTGGTGCAACTGAACTCCTTGGTTCAAGCCATCCTCCTGCCTCAGCCTCCCAAGTAGCAAGGACTGCAGGTACACACTGCCACACCTGGCTAATTTTTTAAAAAACTTGTAGAGACAGGGTTTTGCTGTGTTGCCAAGGCTGATATTAAACTTCTGGCCTCAAGCAATCCTCTCGCTTCAGCTTCCCAAAGTTCTGGGATTACAGGTGTGAGCCATGGTACCTGGCCTATATAAACATTTTAATGGGTGTGTAATATTCTATTGAATAGATTTATCACAGTTTACTTAACAATTTTCCAATTGGTGAATATTTAGATAGTCTCCAGTTTTTCTTTTTCTTTTTTTCTTTCTTTTTTTTTGAGACGGAGTCTTGCTCTGTTGCCCAGGCTGGAGTGCAGTGGTGTGATCTTGGGCTCACTGCAACCTCCACCTCCCCAGTTTAAGCGATTCTCCTGCCTCAGCCTCCCGAGTACCTGGGACTACAGGTACATGCCACCATACCAGGCTAATTTTTTATTTTTAGTAGAGACAGGGTTTCACCATATTGGCCAGGCTGGTCTTGAACTCCTGACCTTGTGATCCACCCACCTCAGCCTTCCAAAGTGCTGGGATTATAGGCGTGAGCCACCGCACCTGGCCAGATAGTCTCCAGTTTTTCAATATTCTGAATAGCCTGACAATGAATATCTCTGTGGTTAGATTTTTGCTTTTCTTTCTCTGTGATTGTTTCCTTAGGATAGATTCCTAGAAGACTGATTACTAGATATAAACATTTAAAAACCATGAAACACTTTGACTCTCATTCCAAAAGGAAAGCAGTAATTATGGTAAAATTTGGAAACAACCCAAATGTCCATCAAGAAGGGACTGATGCCAGATGGTGGCTCATGCCTATAATCCCAGCATTTTGGGAGGCTGAAGCAGGAGGACTGCTTGAGGCCTGGAGTTCAAGAGCAGCCTGGGCAACATAGTAAGATCCTGTCTTAACAAAAAAATTATTAGGCTGGGCAGGATGGCTCATACCTGTAATCCCAGCACATTGGGAGGCCGAGGTGGGTGGATCACTTGAGGTCAGGAGTTCAAGACCAGCCTGGCCAACATGATGAAACCCCAACTCTACTAAAAATATGAAAAATTAGCTGGGCATGGTGGGAGGCGCCTGTAATCCCAGCTACTCGGGAGGCTGAGGTAGGAGAATCGCTTGAACCTGAGAGATAGAGGTTGCCGTGAGCCGAGATCGCACCACTGCACTCCAGCCTGGGCGACAAGTGTGAAACTCTGTCCCCCCCAAAAAAAACCCAAAAAATAAACAATAAAAACAAAACCAAAAAAACCAATCAAACAAAAAAATTAGCTGGGTGTGGTGCTACGTGCTTGTAGTCCCAGCTACTTGGGAGGCTGAGGCGGGAGGATCACTTGAACCCAGTTTGAGGCTGCAGTGAGCTATGATGGTGCCACTGCGCCCCACGCTGGGAGATACAGCAAAACCCTGTCTCTTAAAAAGAAAGAAAAAACAATGGGATAAGTACTACAAATACATCTATAAGGATGTTCACTGTAGCATCGTTTGTGAAGGCCAAAAAAAAAAAAAAAAGGAAAAAATTTAAACTTAAATGTCCGTCAAGAGGACATTGAACATATAAATCATGCCACATTTCTACAGTAGAATACAACTCAGTAGTTAAAGAGCATGAGACCGGCCGGGCGTGGTGGCTCACACCTGTAATCCCAGCACTTTGGGAGGCCGAGGTGGGCAGATCACCTGAGGTCAGGAGTTTGAGACCAGCCTGGCCAACATGGTGAAACCCTGTCTCTACTAAAAATACAAAAATTAGCCAGGTGTGGTGGTGCTCACCTGTAGTCCCAGCTACTTGGGAGGCTGAGGTGGAAGTACCACTTGAACCCAGGAGGTGGAGGTTGCAGTGAGCCGAGATCATGCCACTGCATTCCAGCCTAGGCAACAGAGTACGACTCTGTCTCAAAAAAAAAAAAAAAAAAAGAAAAGGCATGAGACCAATCTTTATGGAGCAACATACAAGGATTACACAACACACTGCTCAGTGAAAAAGAATGCGTGGTGGCTCATGTTTGTAATCCTAGCACTTTGGGAGGCCGACGCAGGCGGATCACCTCAGGTCAGGGGTTCGAGACCAGCCTGGCCAATGTGGTGAGACCCCACTCTACTAAAAATACAAAAATCAGCCAGCGGTGGTGGTGCATGCTTGTAATCCCAGCCACTCGGGAAGCTGAGGCAGGAGAATACTTGAACCCAGGAGGCAGAGGTTGCAGTGAGCCGAGACGGTGCCACTGCACTCCAGCCTGGGCGACAGAGCAACATTCCATCTCGGGGAAAAAAAAAAAAAAAAGGAATGGAGATGATTGATGCTTACTTGAAACTCAATGCTAAGGCGGATGTGCCTCCACCCACCAGCATAGGAAAGTCCTTCAGATACAGGTGAGGCTGGGCTCACCCCTGGCGCCTCGATTTAGCCTGCTGGAGAAGCTCCTGCAGGCAACTGATTCTCTTGCACTCCCCTGGGAAGAACTGCTTTAGACAACCTGGCTAAAAATTCTCAAAATGCCCAAAAGCAGACAAATAGGAAAAAGGCATCTAAAAAGTCACAGACAACTCAAAAGAGGCCGCCCCTGTCTAGCATGCACGGATTACTCACTGTAAAGTGAGTAATCCAATATGCTTTTAGGCAAATTGGTTTTGAGGAACTAGGACAGCTCCCCCTGCCCAGGAGTCCCTGACCTCACACCCTTTCCTCTGACCTTCCTAAATCTGAATCACACTCTGCTTCTCTTTTCTGAGACTCTGTTTTGCCATCTGCAAAATGGGAATAACAACACTACCCACGTCTCAGGGTGGTTGAGAGGACTGAGTCAGATAGTAAGGGCAAGCACTTAGCCCGTGCTTGGCACATAGTAGGTGCTCAGTAAACAGCTGCCATCTCCTTAACATCATCTTCATCACTGGCATAGGTGCCACCAAGGAGACTTGGGTTGGAGTCAAGTCTTCTGGCAGGGATAGGGGCCTGGAGAAGTCATGAGTGCAAGCACCCAGGGTTAGAAACTGGCAGGAAACACTAGGGCTGGGTCCCTGTGAGTAACCATGAGGCCTGCTCAGGAGATCGTTCTGCCCACGGGAGGCCATGGCCACAAGGAATGGACGGCCAGGTCCAGCCCCGCCCAGGCGGCCGTCATACCTTTTCGCTACACTTTCTGATGGTGGCTGTGAGCTCACTGACTACCATATCCACACACTTGATACTGGGCTCTTTGAGCTTCTGCACCTGCTTTTTCACTGTGGCTTCAAAAGCGAGGTCAGGTGTGAAGAGGCCCGTCCTGCACCCGGGGAGGAGGTGGGGACAGGAGGAGGAGCAGCCGTGGGTGGGGAGGAGAAGTGGGTGAAAGCCAAGCAGAGACAGGAATCCAGGGGTGGAGAGGATGGCACGGGCATGGGGGAAGAGAGAGACATCGACACAGATAAAGAGAGAGAGAGAACAGAAGACAATGTGAGCGTGGGACCGGCCCTCCCTCGCCACCCGGGGTCGGCACCTCCCAGGTGCTGCCAAGCATCCCCTGGGCTCCGTGGGTATGGCCAGAGGTACGAGGGACCAAGTTCCTGCTCTGTACAATACCCTTATTGAGTTCAGATCCTCTTCCCAGGGATGCTCCCCTGCTCCTCGGCGTCACTGAGGCTGCCTGCTCTCTCCCAGTGCCATCTTTGTCCACGGCCTTGGGTTCTTCTAAGGAGCTGACCCAGGCCAGGACAAGGCCAGGACCTCATCCACCCATCCTGTTCAATTCTACGTTTCCCAGTGTCCTGGAATTTGCTTCATCCTGACTCCAAACCTCAGCACCATTTCCTATCTCTAGGGTTGCCACATCCAGTTGCCCAGGCCATGCACTGCACAACTCCAGGGGGCTCCATTCTCATAAATCATGGTGCAGAGGCCGCCTCCTGGAGTTGCAGCATAGCAGCCTGACCTCCACTCTCCAGCTCCCTGCTCTAGTCGTGACCCTCCCTTTCTCTTCAAGGGGCATTCCTTGTCTCTCCTCCACAGGGGTTTGGTGGAACCAAAAGACAGAAAGAGAAGAGGAAAGACAGAAAGAGTGGAGGTGGTGATAGAGACGGGCCAGGACAGCAGTGGGGAGAGGAAAGGAAGGGAGGCTGGAGGGTGGAATCGAGGAGCACTGGACTTGGAGTCCAGAGCCGTGGCTTCAAGTAACAGCTCTGCCACCTCCTGACTACTGTGACCTTGGGCAAGCCACTTGATCTGGAGCTTCACTGTTCGTGCTGTGAAATGAGCACTGTCCTCCGTGCCCTGCCTCCCTGCGTGGTTCTGTGAGGCTTGGGTGGTGGCGCAGATGGGAGAAGGGCTCTATCCCTGGAAGGCCAAATGTGGATGGAAGGGAGGGAGAGGCCCTGCGTGAGGGTCCTGCGTGAGGGTGAAGTGAGGATGGGGAGGATGAAGGACAGCGGGGAGCCAGGGCACCTGCTAGTCCTGGGTCCTCTGCACCCCTCTGGCCACCCAGGCCCACCGAGCAGTGCCCAAGAAGGCCCTGCACTTCACCTGTCTCCAAGGCTAAGGTTTCCCCAGACCCCTCCCTGGAGCTCCCAAAGATGACACCTCTGAGGACAGGGAGGGGGCGCAGGGTCCCCTCAAGCCCTGTTCTCTGAGCTGGGGGAGCTCTTGGTGGACTCTTGGGGTAAACAGCCAGCCATCATCCCCGTCTCACCCATGTCCAATCCCTGGGTCCCCAGACCTGGGGGCCAGGGATGGGTGAGGCCCCCTCAGAGGCACATTCTCTCCTGGTCAGTGACGGCCTGCCTCCCCACCCCGCTGAGGTCTGTACATGCTACCGAGGAGGCAGGGGGGGACATGGGGAGGGAGCGCCTGGCAGCAGTGCAGGGCGGGGCAGAGGCAGTGGGGGCTGGCCCGGGCCTCCGGGTTACCTTCTTGGTGCACTGTCTAACGGTGCTGATTAGCTCCGAGATAACCATGTCCACACACTTGAGACACGGTTCTCGGATCTTCTTCACCTGCTTTTTCACAATGGTCTCAAAGGCCATGTCTGGGGTAAACAGCCCCGTTCTGAACGCCCGGAGCGGGAGAAGGGCACAGTGTCACAGGCCAGTGCCAGCCAGGAGGGCCAGGCCGAGGCCCCTCCCCAAGCCCATGAACTCTGCCCGAAGGGCCCTTCCACTACCCCTCTCTGGGCCTCAGTGTCCCCAGCTGTAAAATGGGAGGGAGGGGTTCTAATGAAGGGTTTTGTTTTTTTTTTTTTTCGAGACAGAGCCTCGCTCTGTCGCCCAGACTGGAGTGCAGTGGCGCGATCTCGGCTCACTGCAACCTCTGCCTCCTGGGTTCACGCTATTCTCCTGCCTCAGCCTCCCGAGTAGCTGGGACTACAGGCGCCCGCCACCATGCCCGGCTCATTTTTTTTTGTATTTTTAGTAGAGGCAGGGTTTCACCGTGTTAGCCAGGATGGTCTCAATCTCCTGACCTCATGATCTGCCTGCCTTGGCCTCCCAAAGTGCTGGGATTACAGGCATGAGCCACTGCGCCTGGCCTTAATGAAAGGTTTTCAATTGAGGCTGTTTGGGGCAAGACAAGGTGGTTGAGAGGACTATCTGATGATATAAGTCCTGCTTCCTCATAAGGGTCTGTGCATACAGAAGGTTCTATGGCCACAAATGGCTTGAAAATTGCCAAACTGGGTTCTCCATAAGAGCCTTTCCAGGAATAGAGTGCTTTGTTTTAAGACTAGGAAAGAGATCTTTTTTTCTGTGAATTGGCCAGTGCAGTTATCAGGAAGTAAATTCCACGCCAGATCTTGGAAATGAACCTGCATGAGAGCAGGGGACACTGGGTCTTGTTCACTGCCTGGCAGAGGGTAGGTGCTTTAAATTTTCCTGCCCAGTGGATTTGTTGGATGAACACAGCATAGATCTGGGTCTCTGAAGGGGATCTAAGCTTTTGAGGAACAGATTCCACCTCCCAATCCTGTTTCCTGCTCCACAGGTTGCCTAGAAGGAGGGCAGTGGGGTGGAATGGGACTGACTCTGGGCTAATGTGAATACAGGAGGGTCTGGAGGGTTGCAAAGTCCCCGGCTGTCATAACAGGACACAGCCTCATACTTAGATGCTCCACCCCAGGCCCTACCTAGTGGTTTGGGCATCTTTGCCCCGTCACCCGGGTGTCACTAGCGGAGCTATCTCACCCTGGGGATGGGCCCAGCCCCAGAGGGTGTTTTCCCGGCCACCTGCGCCCTGGGCTGTGCCCAGTTGGCCCAGCAAGTTGCAGTAGGCGGGGTGGCCCGGGTCCACCGCCCCAAGCTGGAACCTGTCATGCAGGGAGCCAAAAAGTTGGGGTGGAGAGGACTGGGGAACAGAGCTCTCAGTCCTTCCTGAGGGAGGCCCACTTCATCATTCCCTGCGCCTCTGTCCCAGACCCTCTGCTTCTGGAGTTCAGCCCCCCTCCCAGGCCCCAATACGTGCCTAATGCCGTGGATATTCTTGATAGCATAGCTGATCTCCCTTCGAAGTTCCTTCTCGTCAAACTCCATCTGTGTAGAAAAGCAGAGAGAAGGCTGGTCAGGGCCTGTCCTCCTACCTGGGAGGTCAAGACAGGGCCCATACCACACCCAGGGCTGGGCATCAGGGCCTCTGGGGTGGGGGTCAGCCAAAGCACACACAGAGAGATTCCTGAGTGAGGGTGAGGGGGTCCTGAGCCATCCTGCCCCCAGGGCTGCCTGACCTACCTTGACCAGCTCAAAGGGGAAGCGCTCGTGGAAGATTCGGTTAATGCGGGCTCCCCCTGACAGTTCATAGGTGTCGATCTGATCTCCTGAGCCCTCAATGCGCTTCTCAAAGTCTACGGCGAACTGCTGGACCATCCTGGGGGGAGAGTGGTGTGGCCTGAGGGGGCAGGAGCAGCCCAGCAGAGGGAACCCTGGGAGAGCCCCCTGCTGAGAGGCTGGGGGTGGGGATTCAGTGATAGGAGCAGGAGCTGGGGGAGCCTCACTGCAGCAGGGCCTTGGTCTTGCGAGCTGGGTCATCAGGGCGGAAGTTCTTGTACTCGTCCACCTCCTTCTCAATGGACAGCAGCTGGCTCTGCAGCTTGTTCCGCAGCCCCGGCAGTGTGTCCCGGATGTGGTTCGTCAGTTGCTGGGGGTAAGGGTGAGGAAAGGGTTAAGGACAGATGGTCACAGGGCCAGGAAGGGACTTGGATGCCAGGGGACTGTGTGTGTGAGAATGTGGTGAGGTGGAGCGCTAAGCCCTGCCACTGCTGCCCGGACCACTGGCATGAAAGCTGGTTCATAGAAGGAGCTTGCAGAGATATATTAGTTGAATTAATGGGTGCATAATTTTCAGTAAAGCCAGAAATCTGGATTTGTATTTGGAATTTCCTGATTTTTGGCCAATTTAATATTTTTCTTTTTCTTTTTCTTTTTTTTTTTTGAGATGGAGTCTCGCTCTGTCGCCCAGGCTGGAGTGCAGTGGCCGGATCTCAGCTCACTGCAAGCTCCGCCTC